ATTGTATTATCATATTTGAAAAGATTAAAACATTGGTAGTGTAGAAGATTGATTGCTTTGAAATTCTTTTTATTTTGAGGTCAACTGATTTCATTTTAAGACTTCGGCGGAGGTTTATAATCGCACCTTTTAATGAACCAAAAAACTGCACTTTGCCGGCATTTTGACCGCACTTTTAATTTTTCTCAAATTTCCCAAATAAACAAAACCGTTGGAACTTTTGAATATGATTTTTGAAAATAGTGTACCCAAGGCTAACTTTGGGCAAAATATCAGGGATTCGCCAAATGAGTCGCTGACCGCCGGTTGTCGATCCTTACAGACAGCCACTCTTAAACCTTTCCGATCAAATTATTGGGCGAAATGGACGAACTCGCACTGAAACATTCTCAAGCTGTAACCAGGCCTCTGTATAGCTTTTTAACTGCCCCATGTATGCAAAGGCTTACTTGAGTTTGCACATAAGAATGACTCGGTGATGTGACGAATTACTATATGAATGTTTTGGAGAAATAATCTATTCTGTTATTGGCTATTGTGAGGAAACTGGCAAAAAATCGTCTTTTACAACAGTCCCATAATGCAATTCGACGCATCACTGACCCAGTCTCCCCAGTCACCTGCAACCTCAGATTCGCCAGCCAATAAAACGTTTTCCCATGACGTCATGCCCGCGATATTGGTGTTCCAAAACAATAAAACGGTGGCCATGTAGAAATTTTTAGCTGCTGGCTATGTCAGTGAAAACGCGCTATACAAGCTTAAGTCCCCAATCATGGCGTTATAAGACACGTGGAGGGGAATGACTCTCAGTACCAGTAGAAGGAAACAACTACTCAGGAGATGCTCGGGAGCTAAAGCAACGACAACGAGAACGTCAAAAAATAAATAGGTTTAGATTGGCAAAGCAACAACTCTACGCTAGTAAACCAATCTTTATTCAAGTATCAGAACAATAAGTAATATTTACAATTTTAAACTATATCGCATCGTTTACAAATTAAAAACTAAGTATATCTCCACGATAGAAAAACTACTTACAATTGTGAATAATTTAAAAGTGGGAAAAGCAAAATTAAGTGTTACTAAGAAAAAAAAGAAACTATCAAAAATCTAGGCCTAAAATTATGAGTGCAGATGTAGACCAGCTACAGCGAAAGTGAAGTCTTCTGAGACCCCACGTGATTTGAATGGATATCTAGAACCTCTGACGCATCTGTGTATAGTTCTTAATATAGCAAATAAGAGCTGTATTCGAAGCCAGATTTTCGATTTCGGTTTTCTTTTTCGAAAAGCAACTCGCCGTCTTTTTCGGTAGAGATCTTTTGGCAGCATTAGCAACTGAGATCGGAGAAGGTTCAATTTTCCAGTTATTTGTATTGGGGTGCAAAGACCGGAGCCGTATTTAGAAGCACTGTCGTTATTTCCCAGTTGCAAAGCATAATTCAGATCAAGCAGCCGAGGTAACTTCTATGGGAATTTTAGCGTGTGTGTTTTGAAAGAAAAACTGAACTGTTTAAAAGAAATACTGCAAGGAACTCATAACATCGTATAGTGTCAGCTATGCGGCAATGGACAAACGATTAATGAATTTCATTAAAATCGCCATCATTGTTAACCACGAATACAGCGGCGTGCTTTGTCGACGACGGGGCTGAACGGGACTGAGGTAAAGCTGTTCGTTCGTTCTGTTTGCCCCTATAAGTATTGATTCAAAATTGCATCGTTTGCTTTATGCATGAGGTTTTTTTCCCTTTGGGTCTGATGTTCCCTGCTAGCAGAGGTCTCTCACGACAAGGCAAAAATGATAGGATGGCCATGATTGATTTTGGCCATGATTGGCAAGGAAGGGGACATTTTTCTTTCAAAGCTTTGTTATTTCCACACGAACTTTTAGCCTTTTTAGGAGTCTATTTAGCGTTTTCTTGAAAGTTGACAGCCTGCAAGTATATGCTATAGGATTAACAAGAGAGTTTGCGAAATGCAGAACAGTTCCCACCAAAACGACTTCGGCTGGAATACATTCTTTGCAAAAGACGTAATGGATGACGTACAAAATGACAGCTGGAACCCAACAAGCAAATGACAATGCAATGACCAGAAATACCGTTTTTGAGAGTTTTACGTTTCTTTCCACGCTTCGCCTTTGATCACTGTTAAATATTTGGGGTGAACGTTTCAAATGGGCGCGTATAATGATGTACGTAGAACAAGTGGTAAGAATGGATAGTACAAGAACGATGTTCAGTGCTATAACCGCATATTCAAAGGGCCACACCTTGAAGAAAGGTAGAATATAAATGAGGAACACACTCATCGCAGTCACCCAGATAAAAGCAATACAATAGACATACACTCTGTCACTTGAAGTTCGATGAGCAAGTGGCCACAAGACGGCTGCAGTGCGTTCCACTGAAACAGTAGCAAGAGAAACTACTGAAGCTGTCGAAAACAGGATGTGAAATGCTGCAATATAGTTTCCGAGGTCGTCAATGTTTCGTTTTCGCATCAGAGAGGGAATGGAGATGGTTATAAACCCTGGAATTTTTGTAACTCCTATTAAGAAATCGGCAACCGCTAGATTGATCAGAAGATAGCTGGCTCGTCTTCTACTTCCCGTGAACTGCGTCCAAAATACGAAAATTACGAAAGCGTTTCCAACACATATGCTGAGTGTTTCGATACTTATTATCACAGAGAAGGCGATGACAGAGTTCGTGTACATTGCTTCTCCCTTCTGTTGAACGACAAACGCACTAACAGAGCAACTGGTCTGTTAATCAAAAAGAAGGCGTGTAGTTTGGTTATGTAGTGACTTCAAGGGTTCCGGAAGAGCAGGTCGGGGGGCGGGGGTGGACTCACCTCCTTAGGATACCTATACGGGTATGTGCCTCTCCAAGTGGTTGGGGCTTTAGAGTTCCTGCTTTACAACAGGTTTTTCTACATTCAAATGGACCGTGTACTTAATATGCTACTATTGGGAGTTTTACATGACTAGTAGGGAAATCAATACCAGGCTATAATTTTTAATGTAAAACTCTTCTAAAACAGGTCTATAATAGGAGAATAGATTAAGAGACCTGAGCAACCCATACACTCTAAACTCCTACCTTAGTACCCTCCTTTAAACTATGATTATTATATTTCGAAAAACATCTGCCAGTCTTAAGCCGCCTTTCAATTAATCTCATCTTCTTTTATTTACTGTGGGCAGCTAAAAAATAAATGCAACCAGAAAATATAAATAAATAACAGCAAACTTAATTAAGTTTGCACTATCACAATATACACTATTCTAGAGACCACATCAGGTTTTAACACAAAAAGCAATATTTTTCCTTAATACCTTTTCTCTAAAACTGTAAAATTTTCAATACATATGTAAATTTCGCACAAGGTAAGCAAAACACAATATATTTCAATCAAATATAATATATAACAATTATTCACCGAAGTGGAGGTGGCTAGTGATGGATATTTACCGAAGCCGCGTTAGCGGCGAGGTAAATATCTATCACTAGCCACCGACACTGAGGTGAATAATTGTTTTAGTATATACTAAAACAGTGAGATAATTGAGCACAAAAATGTTGATTTTTAACTCATTTACTGTTGCCTGCAACGATTACAATTTTGGCGCGCAATGACCGAACGGCCGCTGTCGTCGCTTTTTCTTGCCGGCAAATAAAACTTTTGAAGGCATTTGTTTACCTCTTGCGGGGAAATTTCCTCAAAAGGAGTTGTGAATTCTTTTTGTATTTAAAATCATTCTGTAAAAAGGATTATTAGATTTAGTTTTAAGCTTATTTATGAACAAGTCAACTAAAAAAAGTAACGCAAGACTTAAACTTAATTTGCATTTGTAAACAACAAAACTTTTTCGCCGGTTTTATCGATAAATTCAAGTCAAAAAGACAAAGTTTTACCTGTGAAAACTTCCACCCCGAGCTTCGTCACTTTCTTCGTGTATTTCGGAAACAGCTTGCTTGATTAGTTGTGAAATTTCTTTGTTTGTTACGGCAGCAAACCGGGAAGGCATTTTGCAACTTACGCGAGTTTGGCGTCTCTCGCTCGGAGGAACTAGAGGTGAATCAGTGAATAGTGCAGGATATTCACTGATTGAGCAGCCAATCAGAGCGCGCGAAAAACACTATCCACTGTTTTAGTATATACTAAATAAATTTAGCCAGGGCTAAAAGCGAAGCTCACGTTAATAAATTCATAATTTAAATCAAACAATAAACTTGTAATCCACAGATCAGGGCACGTTCATGTGACTTTTGAGGCAAAGGCTAAGTGGTTTTAGAGGAAAATAATTTGACAGTCCAAGAGTGAAACAAATTTTACATTGAGTTAATAGTCTTATTTGTCCACCCCAAAATAGCAATCATGTTCGATCACAGTAGATTAGGCCTAGAAAACAAATAGACCTATTCGTGTATTGTATTTGCATTAGCTGTTGCATCATAATGTGGCATTCACCACGGTCTCTCCAACATTGCTCCGTTTGAGAGACTATGGATTATTGGACAACCCCGAAATATAATTTTAAGAAACACACGCGCCACGATAGTCCTTGGTGGCAGCCAATTTACACGTTGCATTCCTCTGTCTAAAAGGGAGGCCAAAATAAAAAATCAGGCCGGATTTTCTGTGTTCGACAAGTTTACTTTACAAGTAAATCTTGGCGACGAATCTGATGGCGTGTAAACCAGCCTTTTAAACATACTTTTTCTCATTACGGCTCAGGTAAACAGTACTATGAGGCCCTTTTTTTATCATACGGACCTCGGACAAAATTTGTTCTTTTTTGCCCTATTTAAACCTATAATTCTGCAGTTTTTCAAAATTTTGCAAGACAAATTGCACTCATTCAATATCCAGGACGATCAAAGCACGCGCTTCCTTTGCACAATAAATTATGGCGTTGACCACATTATAAAACGTTTTCATGAAGAGAATTAGAATTCCATAATGCCGGGACTTTTCAGTTAGAGAAATCTGGTCCTGTTTGATACGCAGGTTAATAATTATGGGCTTTTAGTGAAAACGATAAAAAAATTCCCAAAATCACCTTTTCGGCCAGCCGGACGGGTTCTCACTTTTGACAGGCACCAAACTTGCAGGGATTAATAGAGTTACCATTTAGGCTTCAACATGATAGAGAATTTGTTATGTTAAGGTCTTATTTCCCTTTATTTATAAAACGGTTTATGGTTTTGTTATGTGTAATCTTAAAAAGCGAGTGATATTTACGCGCGGCGATGTTTATGTTCGACTGGAAACAACCGGTGCAGCGATAAAAATTGCGAGAGGGACTACTAACAATCAATAAAATAAATATAATTCGGTGAAACATGTACAGAGACAATAATTTTCATTCACGAAGAAATTCAAAGGGCCACACGTTGAAGAAAGGTAGAATATAAATGAGGAACACACTCATCGCAGTCACCCAGATAAAAGCAATACAATAGACATACACTCTGTCACTTGAAGTTCGATGAGCAAGTGGCCACAAGACGGCTGCAGTGCGTTCCACTGAAACAGTAGCAAGAGAAACTACTGAAGCTGTCGAAAACAGGATGTGAAATGCTGCAATATAGTTTCCGAGGTCGTCAATGTTTCGTTTTCGCATCAGAGAGGGAATGGAGATGGTTATAAACCCTGGAATTTTTGTAACTCCTATTAAGAAATCGGCAACCGCTAGATTGATCAGAAGATAGCTGGCTCGTCTTCTACTTCCCGTGAACTGCGTCCAAAATACGAAAATTACGAAAGCGTTTCCAACACATATGCTGAGTGTTTCGATACTTATTATCACAGAGAAGGCGATGACAGAGTTCGTGTACATTGCTTCTCCCTTCTGTTGAACGACAAACGCACTAACAGAGCAACTGGTCTGTTAATCAAAAAGAAGGCGTGTAGTTTGGTTATGTAGTGACTTCAAGGGTTCCGGAAGAGCAGGTCGGGGGGCGGGGGTGGACTCACCTCCTTAGGATACCTATACGGGTATGTGCCTCTCCAAGTGGTTGGGGCTTTAGAGTTCCTGCTTTACAACAGGTTTTTCTACATTCAAATGGACCGTGTACTTAATATGCTACTATTGGGAGTTTTACATGACTAGTAGGGAAATCAATACCAGGCTATAATTTTTAATGTAAAACTCTTCTAAAACAGGTCTATAATAGGAGAATAGATTAAGAGACCTGAGCAACCCATACACTCTAAACTCCTACCTTAGTACCCTCCTTTAAACTATGATTATTATATTTCGAAAAACATCTGCCAGTCTTAAGCCGCCTTTCAATTAATCTCATCTTCTTTTATTTACTGTGGGCAGCTAAAAAATAAATGCAACCAGAAAATATAAATAAATAACAGCAAACTTAATTAAGTTTGCACTATCACAATATACACTATTCTAGAGACCACATCAGGTTTTAACACAAAAAGCAATATTTTTCCTTAATACCTTTTCTCTAAAACTGTAAAATTTTCAATACATATGTAAATTTCGCACAAGGTAAGCAAAACACAATATATTTCAATCAAATATAATATATAACAATTATTCACCGAAGTGGAGGTGGCTAGTGATGGATATTTACCGAAGCCGCGTTAGCGGCGAGGTAAATATCTATCACTAGCCACCGACACTGAGGTGAATAATTGTTTTAGTATATACTAAAACAGTGAGATAATTGAGCACAAAAATGATGATTTTTAACTCATTTACTGTTGCCTGCAACGATTACAATTTTGGCGCGCAATGACCGAACGGCCGCTGTCGTCGCTTTTTCTTGCCGGCAAATAAAACTTTTGAAGGCATTTGTTTACCTCTTGCGGGGAAATTTCCTCAAAAGGAGTTGTGAATTCTTTTTGTATTTAAAATCATTCTGTAAAAAGGATTATTAGATTTAGTTTTAAGCTTATTTATGAACAAGTCAACTAAAAAAAGTAACGCAAGACTTAAACTTAATTTGCATTTGTAAACAACAAAACTTTTTCGCCGGTTTTATCGATAAATTCAAGTCAAAAAGACAAAGTTTTACCTGTGAAAACTTCCACCCCGAGCTTCGTCACTTTCTTCGTGTATTTCGGAAACAGCTTGCTTGATTAGTTGTGAAATTTCTTTGTTTGTTACGGCAGCAAACCGGGAAGGCATTTTGCAACTTACGCGAGTTTGGCGTCTCTCGCTCGGAGGAACTAGAGGTGAATCAGTGAATAGTGCAGGATATTCACTGATTGAGCAGCCAATCAGAGCGCGCGAAAAACACTATCCACTGTTTTAGTATATACTATAAATTTAGCCAGGGCTAAAAGCGAAGCTCACGTTAATAAATTCATAATTTAAATCAAACAATAAACTTGTAATCCACAGATCAGGGCACGTTCATGTGACTTTTGAGGCAAAGGCTAAGTGGTTTTAGAGGAAAATAATTTGACAGTCCAAGAGTGAAACAAATTTTACATTGAGTTAATAGTCTTATTTGTCCACCCCAAAATAGCAATCATGTTCGATCACAGTAGATTAGGCCTAGAAAACAAATAGACCTATTCGTGTATTGTATTTGCATTAGCTGTTGCATCATAATGTGGCATTCACCACGGTCTCTCCAACATTGCTCCGTTTGAGAGACTATGGATTATTGGACAACCCCGAAATATAATTTTAAGAAACACACGCGCCACGATAGTCCTTGGTGGCAGCCAATTTACACGTTGCATTCCTCTGTCTAAAAGGGAGGCCAAAATAAAAAATCAGGCCGGATTTTCTGTGTTCGACAAGTTTACTTTACAAGTAAATCTTGGCGACGAATCTGATGGCGTGTAAACCAGCCTTTTAAACATACTTTTTCTCATTACGTCTCAGGTAAACAGTACTATGAGGCCCTTTTTTTATCATACGGACCTCGGACAAAATTTGTTCTTTTTTGCCCTATTTAAACCTATAATTCTGCAGTTTTTCAAAATTTTGCAAGACAAATTGCACTCATTCAATATCCAGGACGATCAAAGCACGCGCTTCCTTTGCACAATAAATTATGGCGTTGACCACATTATAAAACGTTTTCATGAAGAGAATTAGAATTCCATAATGCCGGGACTTTTCAGTTAGAGAAATCTGGTCCTGTTTGATACGCAGGTTAATAATTATGGGCTTTTAGTGAAAACGATAAAAAAATTCCCAAAATCACCTTTTCGGCCAGCCGGACGGGTTCTCACTTTTGACAGGCACCAAACTTGCAGGGATTAATAGAGTTACCATTTAGGCTTCAACATGATAGAGAATTTGTTATGTTAAGGTCTTATTTCCCTTTATTTATAAAACGGTTTATGGTTTTGTTATGTGTAATCTTAAAAAGCGAGTGATATTTACGCGCGGCGATGTTTATGTTCGACTGGAAACAACCGGTGCAGCGATAAAAATTGCGAGAGGGACTACTAACAATCAATAAAATAAATATAATTCGGTGAAACATGTACAGAGACAATAATTTTCATTCACGAAGACAAGTATTGAGAGTCAAGTGTCCCTGAAAATCATGAGTCAGGTAAGCATAAGCTTATTTATGTTTTAAGCCGGCCGGCTTCCCGGTGTTTGCTCTTTTTCAAGATGAACTCGAGGCAAGAAAATCGCTCAGAGCTTTCTGTTTACAGCCAAAATCATAACTAAATATTTTTCGGAACCTTTTCTTTGAATTTGCGGTCAAAAAATGTCTAAAGGCTTTTTAAACCTGATACTATTGTAGGTTAGATCATTGCTCCTGTATAAACTTAAGCCGCATAAACCATACGCTCGACTTCAGGAAACCGAAAAAAAAAAAAAAACGCATCAAAGACAATAATTGCTCAGGCTTACCAGTCGAGATGCTGCTTCTGAGGGTCATCAAATTAATGCGGACAACACATATATCCACGATAAGTACATTTCAGTGTGAGTATTGTTAATGTTTTACATTCAAAAGATGCGATAAATTCAAACTAAAATGTACTAGTCATGGAGGTAAGTATGGTGCGCATTATTTTGGAAAAATTAGCATAATGTCAAAACATTGAATGTTGTAACGCAGATTTTTGACGGGTTCGTAGGATAGGTTTGTCTTGAAATTTCAAGGCGTTGCAGTGAATCAATCTTAATGAAAGTTTCAGACATTATTATATACATTATGAAGATTATGTGAAGAGATTGAAAAAAAATTCGTTCGAGACGTTTGAGAGATATACAAAAAAGCGCTAAAAGTCCAAATTTTGAATGAAGTTGCACTTATACAGGTGGTGAGAAAACGGGTTAGTTTTCAAGATCGCAAGAACGAAAACAAAGCAAAATTTCCTAGCATTAAAATATGATATTAAGCAGCATTCTGACGCTACTTAAGAATAATTTGAGTCATTTATAACGTTTTTAATAAGTAATTTATCACCGCTATTGAAAATTTAAGGCTTGAAATATATTTTCGTTTTAGTCGAATTCAAACATACAGAATTTTTTACTTCTTACGGAGATTATTTGCTAAACGCCAAACTCTAAGTTCCTAGCGTTGGATTTTCAGTAGCTGGTCTAGATCACACAAAATTCGGCTTTTATCAATTTCAAAGTTTTTTGTTTATTGTTGTCATAGTAATAACGATTTACTTAAAACTGCATTTTCATAAATTTCATTTCATTACCAATTACTGGTGAAAATTTTATAGCGATCGGAGAAGGAGAAAACCACTTTTAAGGCGATTGAAAAATATCGGTATGGTCTCTAAAAAACTGTATCGAAACGCCTTAAAGGGTGCGTTCGATTGGGAAATCTGGATTTAGATTTTAAAATCCGGATTTCGGATTTGCAATCGAACGCGAAATCCGAAAACGGATTTCAACGCTGAGATATCTGTTTGGGATTTTTATTTTTACCGTTCGATTGCGAAATCCGAAAAAGGATTTGAAAAACTGTCCTTAAGAACAACGGTCTGTTCACGAGAATATAGTTTTGCAAATCCTTTTTCGGATTTCCCAATCGAACGGTAAAAAGGAAATCCATGAAATCCGGATTTGGATTTCTTAATTGAAATCGACCCTGAGGACGGATTTCTCGGAGGTGAAATCCGTTTTCGGATTTCGCGTTCGATTGGGAAATCCAGATTTCCCAATCGAACGCACCCAAAGTCATCCTCTGTTTTTCTTCGTTTAGCGTCGTCCGACCGACCCAAATTTTTGTCGTTTTCCAAAAAAAAAGTAACGACGTAGTTTAACCATTTTTCACTTGAAATAATACTTTTAATATGAATATGTGAATGTTAAGTTTTAAAGTCGTCTTGGGGTACCAGGGCCTCCTATATTCCCAGACTACTTGTGATTTTTTTTTCGTTTTCAATCCGACCGACCGACCCAATATCAGGAAACGCATTCGACGCTAAACGAGAAAAAAAAGGATGGCCTTATTTACAAAGCGGACATTTCATTTCAAAGCTTCGTTATTTCTACACGAACTTGTCCCCTTTGAACGAGTCCGTTCAGAGTTTTCCTAAAAATTGACAGTCTACAAGTATATGTGATAGGATTTATTACAGAGTTTGCAAAATGCAAAAGAGTTTTTTTTTTTCTTCTCCTGAACTTCGATACAGTCTTTTAGAATTCAACTCCAGAAAAAAATTGTCAACATCTTACGAATTAAATGAGATCAAATAATCGCGATAAAATTTGAAGCAGAGCGACTTCATTTTTCGAGTTATGTTGCGTCGCAGTCGTTGTTGTTTGGGCTTCCTACTATTAGCGCACGCCAGACGTCAGGACCAAACGAGGGAATGTTTTTTGGCCATAAAAGGCAGGGAACATTTTTCTTTCAAAGCTTTGTTACTTCCACACGAACTTGTCGCCTTTTTAGGAGTCTATTCAGCGTTTTCTTAAAAATTGACAGCCTGCAAGTATATGCGATTGGATTAACAAGAGAGTTTGCGAAATGCAAAACAGTTCCCACCAAAACGACTTCGGCTGGAATACATTCTTTGCAAAAGACGTCATCAATGACGTACAAAATGACAGCTGGAACCCAACAAGCAAATGACAATGCGATGACCAGAAATACCGTTTTTGAGAGTTTTACGTTTCTTTCCATGCTTCGCCTTTGATCACTGTTAAATATTTGGGGTGAGCATTTCAAATGAGCGCGTATAATGATGTACGTAGAACAAGTGGTAAGAATGGATAGTACAAGAACGATGTTCAGTGCTATAATCGCATATTCAAAGGGCCACACGTTGAAGAAAGGTAGAATATAAATGAGGAACACACTCATCGCAGTCACCCAGATAAAAGCAATACAATAGACATACACTCTGTCACTTGAAGTTCGATGAGCAAGTGGCCACAAAACGGCGGCAGTGCGTTCCACTGAAACAGTAGCAAGAGAAATTACGGAAGCTGTTGAAAACAAGATGTCAAATGCTGCAATGTAGTTTCCGAGGTCGTTAATGTTTCGTTTTCGCATCAGAGAGGGAATGTAGATGGTTATAAACGATGGAATTTTTGTGACTCCTATTAAGAAATCGGCAACCGCTAGATTGATCAGAAGATAGCTGGCTCGTCTTCTACTTCCCGTGCACTGCGTCCAAAATACGAAAATTACGAAAGTATTTCCAACACATACGATGAGTGCTTCGATACTTATTATCACAGAGAAGGCTATGACAGTGTTCGTGTACATTGCTTCTCCGGCTTCTGTTGAACGACAAACGCACTAACAGAGCAACTGGTCTGTTAATAAAAAAGAAGGCGTGTAGTTTGGTTATGAAGTGACTTCAACGGTTCCGGGAGAGCAGGTCAAAGGGCGGGGAGGACTCACCTCCTTAGGATACCTATACGGGTATGTGCCGCTCGACGTGGTCGGGGTTTTAGAGGTGCTGTTTTAATACAGGTTTTTCTATATTCGAGTCGACCGTGCACTTAATATGCGTTGTAATATTGGGAGTTTTACATCATTAGTAGGGAAATCAATACTAGGCTATAATTTTTAACGTAAAACTCTTCCAAAACAGGTCTACAATATGAGAATGAATTAAGAGACCTGAGAAACCCATACACTCTAAACTCCTACCTTAGTACCCTCCTTTAAACTATGATTTGTCGCAAAACATCTGCCAGTCTTAAATTGACTTTCAATTAATCTCATCTTCATTTATTTACTGTGGGCAGCTAAAAAAGGTAAATGCAAACAGAAAATATAAATAAATAACGGTAAACTTAATTAAGTTTGCATTATCACAATATACACTATTCTAGAGACCACATCAGGTTTTAACACAAAAAGCAATATTTTTCCTCAATACTTTTTCTCAAAAACTGTGAAATTTTCAATACATATGTAAATTTCACACCAAATTAAGCAAAACACAATATATTTTAATCAAATATATGAAAAAGGGAGTTTAAAGTTTTAAGTCCCCAGACCCTCAATCCGTTTCACAATTAAGATTACATTTTCGAATATACTTATTCATAAAATGTTTTTTTTTAGTATTGTTAGTATTTATTGTATTACTAGGTGAAAATAAAGGTTCCCCCTCAATCGCTGACCCTTATTTGTTTGAAGGAGCGTCACGGCACCACGTTCATCATTTAAACTTGTTATTTGCGAATAACAAAGTACAATTTTTCATTTTCCGTAATCTAAGAGGACGCTTTTCTGCCAACTCTTTTCCTTTTTTACAGGCGCATGTTTGTTAATAACAGTCACAAGCATATTTTTCCACTCGTTCCACTTTTCGTCAACATCAGAGACCACACGAATACGACTCCAATCTCTCCGCCCTACATCAAACAAGAAATTGTTTTGGTTGAAGTTCTTCATTTGCTCATAAGAAAAGTTCTTCATTGAAGTTCTTCATTTGTATTTCTCAAACTCAATAATTCATAAAAAAAAAAGACGAAGGAAATTAATGTTTAATGAGTGTTTGGAAATCAGATGTAAAACTGCTCATTTTTGCATCCTTAATTTCTCCTGGTAAAATCATTTTGTTTGAGAAGTAATATCAAGCACTCGACATAGTGTTTCATTTCCAGAAGAAACACCTTGAAGTTCGTCAAGCCGCTGCGCGTCGCATTTTCATCTCTCTTCTCAGTGTTTCATTTGATGATATAACACTGCGTCTCACGCTTGATATATTTACATAAACCATAAAAGTGAAGTTGTACTCATCTTTTCGAAACTGGGACTAGTTAACTTTCGCAAAGACTTCTGAGACTGTTAGCGGTGACAGGGCAAACAAACTGACCAATAGCTTAATGGCGCGTCCCCAGTAACCACCCCAGAAGTCTTTGCAAAAGCTAAGTGGCGAATAGAGCTCGGTGACGGCATCGCCTTTGTAGCATTTCAGGATCTCAGATGGGATAATGTTCTGACTGGGTGCTTTTCCAGGTGCAAGCGAACCCAGAGCCTCTTTCAGCTCCAAAGGTTCACAATTTAGCTCCTCCAGAACTGGTAAGCACTCTATAGCGTTCAGGGCTTCTCCAGACACCATATTCGTTCTCTATGGCGTACAGCTCAGAGTAATGTTCTACCCAACGCTCCATCTGTCACGCTCGGTCCTGGATTGTGAGGGTTGTCCTGTAGAAGATTATGGGAGGGCTGTTTTCTTCTGAGAAGTACTAATTGTGCTGGCTTGATTTATTTCTATTTATTCGTACATTGTAACTCCACACACCGTTAGCGGGCAAAGTATAAATCAGGGCTAGAGCCATCTCAGTCGCCAGTAGTAAAAGCAATAGATTGTTGTTCGGTTTGCAAGTGGACACAAAACGGCGAAAGTGCTTTAGACTGATGATGGCAGAGAGAAAAACAACTGAAGCTGTATGGAAACTTAGTGAATGGTTTAATAATTTCACTTAGTACCGAATTTGAATCAATTTGATTTTGTTTTCCTGCGAAGAGATTTGCTTGGAGTATGCAAGCTTCAGCATACATGCATATTTATTAATTCTTTCAGTTTTTACTTCACGGGATGGAACCACATATGCATATCTCATTCCTGAAGTTACTAGACATGCAAGGGTTTACGCAATCTTTGTCGAATCGACTGTTGTGATGAATTACCCTTTGTGACTGTTTTGGGGAAGAAATCTCTTTCGAGGTACTTTTACTGGTAATCACAAGGTCGCACAGGAAGCTGGATCATAATTTCTTCCTTACAACTGATTCCCATAATGCAATTCAACAGAACACCGATCCAGTCTCCCTCGCGTACTAAAAATGGCCAATAGAGCATTTCCACATGACGTCATTTCTGCCACTTCGGTTCCGAAACGGTAATTGTTTAATAAAAAGGTAGCCATGTTGGTGTCCCAAACCAATTCTGTGCGTGTTGAATCTTTTTCTTACATAAAACCTTTTTTTTCTTTCAATTAATCTAATGGCCGCGTGAGAGAAAACGCACGCTCCATGCAACTTCTAGTCTCCAATCATGGTTTTACAGGACACCTGAAAAGGGATGATTTCCAGAATGAAAGAGGCTACTATGTTATGCCCAGGTGAAACCATTGGCGCATGTTTGACGTCATGAAAAAACGTGGGATATTTTTTTTTGCCTTAAGGTCCTCCTCTTTTTTTTTCTTCGTTTAGCGTCGTCAGAGAGACCCAAATTTTTGTCATTTTCCAAAAAAAAAGGAACAACGTAGTTAAACCATTGTTTACTTGAAATAATTCTTTTAATCTGGAAAATGCACATAGTAATTAACAGCAAAGCGAAAAACAGGAAAAAGAACAGGAACATTTTTTACAGTTATATTGTGTACCTTAATATGTGAATTTTAAGTTTTAAAGTCGTTCTGGGGTACCAGGGCCTCCTATATTCCCAGACTACTTGTTATTTTTTTTTCAATCCGACCGACCGACCCAATATCAGAAAACGCATTCGACGCTAAACGAGAAAAAAAAGGATGGCCTTATTTACAAAGGGACATTTCATTTCAAAGTTTCGTTATTTCTACACGAACTTGTCCCCTTTGAACGAGTCCGTTCAGAGTTTTCCTAAAAATTGACAGTCTACAAGTATATGTGATAGGATTTATTACAGAGTTTGCAAAATGCAAAAGAGTTTTTTATTCTTCTCCTGAACTTCGATACAGTCTTTTAGAATTCAACTCCAGAAAAAAATTGCCAACATCTTACGAATTAAATGAGATCAAATAATCGCGATAAAGTTTGAAGCAGAGCGACTTCATTTTTCGAGTTATGTTGCGTCGCCGTCGTTGTTGTTTGGGCTTCCTACTATTAGCGCACGCCAGACGTCAGGACCAAACGAGGGAAGGTTTTTTGGCCATAAAAGGCAGGGAACATTTTTCTTTCAAAGCTTTGTTACTTCCACACGAACTTGTCGCCTTTTTAGGAGTCTATTCAGCGTTTTCTTAAAAACTGACAGCCTGCAAGTATATGCGATAGGATTAACAAGAGAGTTTGCGAAATGCAAAACAGTTCCCACCAAAACGACTTCGGCGGGAATACATTCTTTGCAAAAGACGTCATCGATGATGTAAAAAATGACGGCTGGAACCCAAAAAGCAAATGACAATGCGATGACCAGAAATACCGTTTTTGAGAGTTTTACGTTTCTTTCCACGCTTCGCCTTTGATCACTGTTAAATATTTGGGGTGAACGTTTCAAATGGACGCGTATAATGATGTACGTAAGACAAGTAGTAAGAATGGATAGTACAAGAACGATGTTCAGTGCTATAACCGCATATTCAAAGGGCCACACGTTGAAGAAAGGTAGAATATAAATGAGGAACACACTCATCGCAGTCACCCAGATAAAAGCAATACAATAGACATACACTCTGTCACTTGAAGTTCGATGAGCAAGTGGCCACAAAACGGCGGCAGTGCGTTCCACCGAAACAGTAGCAAGAGAAACTACGGAAGCTGTTGAAAACAAGATGTCAAATGCCGCAATATAGTTTCCGAGGTCGTTAATGTTTCGTTTTCGCATCAGAGAGGGAATGTAGATGGTTATAAACGATGGAATTTTTGTGACTCCTATTAAGAAATCGGCAACCGCTAGATTGATCAGAAGATAGCTGGTTCGTCTTCTACTTCCCGTGCACTGCGTCCAAAATACGAAAATTACGAAAGCATTTCCAACACATATGATAAGTGATTCGATACTTATTACCACAGAGAAGGCGATGACAGTGTTCGTGTACATTGCTTATCCCTTCTGTCGAACGACAAACGCACAAACAGAGCAACTGGTCTTTTAATCAAAAAGAAGGCGTGTAGTTTGGTTATGAAGTGACTTCAACGGTTCCGGGAGAGCAGGTCAAAGGGCGGGGGAGGACTCACCTCCTTAGGATACCTATACGGGTATGTGCCGCCCAACGTTGTCGGGGTTTTAGAGGTGCTGTTTTACAACAGGTTTTTCTGTATTCGAGTCAACCGTCTACTTAATATGCGTCGTAATATTGGGAGTTTTACATCATCAGTAGGGAAATCAATACTAGGCTATAATTTTTAACGTAAAACTCTTCCAAAACAGGTCTACAATAGGGAATAGATTTAGAGACTTGAGCAACCCATACACTCTGAATTCCTACCTTAGTACCCTCCTTTAAGCTATGATTTGTCACAAAACATCTGCCAGTCTTAAATTGACTTTCAGTTAATCTCAACTTCATTTATTTACTGTGGGCAGCTAAAAAAGATAAAGGCAAACAGAAAATATAAATAAATAACTGTAAACTTAATTAAGTTTGCATTATCACAATATACACTTTTCTAGAGACCACATCAGGTTTTAAAACAAAAAGCAATATTTTTCCTTAATACGTTTTCTCTAAAACTGTGAAATTTTCAATACATATGTAAATTTCACACCAAATTAAGCAAAATACAATATATTTTAATCAAATATATGAAAAAGGGAGTTTAAAGTTTTAAGTCCCCAGACACCCTCAATCCGTTTCACAATTAAGATTATATTTTCGAAAATACTTATTCATAAAAATTTTTTTTTTAGTATTTTTAGTATTTATTGTATTACTTGGTGAAAATAAAGGTTCCCCCTCAATCGCTGACCCTTATTTGTTCGAAGGAGCTCACGGCCCGACGTTCATCATTTAAACTTGTTATTTGCGAATAACAAAGTACAATTTTTCATTTTACGTAATCCAAGAGGACGTTTTTTCTGCCAACTCTTTTCTTTTTTACAGGCGCATGTTTGTTAATAACAGTCACAAGCATATTTTTCCACTCCCTCCACTTTTCGCGAGCATCAGAGACCACACGAATACGACTCCTGTCTCTCTGTCCTACATCAACCAAGAAATTGTTTTGGTTGAAGTTCTTCATTTGTACATAAGAACAGTTCTTAGTTAATTCATTGAAGTTCTTCATTTGTATTTCTCAAACTCATCAATAATTCATAAAAAAAATACGAAGGAAATTAATGTTTGTTTATAATGAGTGTTTGGAAATCAGATGTAAAACTGCTCATCTTTGCATCCTTAATTTCTCCTGATAAAATCATTTTGTTTGAGAAGTAATATCAAGCATTTGACATAGTGTTTCATCTCCAGAAGAAACACCTCGAAGTTCATCAAGCCGCTGCACGTCGTATTTTCAACTCTCTTCTCAGTGTTTCATTTGGTGATGAAACACTCCGTCTCATGCTTGATATATTACATAAAACATAAAACTGAAGTTGTACTCATCTCTTCGAAATTTCGTGATGGCCCTTCTCTGGATTACGTGAACATTGGAAATGATGATGGTAAAGCCACAAGCCTTGAGGTAGTTCTAGATAACCATATGTCCCTTGACCGTCATGTAAAAGATCTTTGCAAATCGTTAATCTGCCATTTTAGAATTGTTCAAGATCATAAAGTATCTTACCAAAGAATAAGCTCCCACAGTGGTACAAACTTTTACGTCTTCTAAACTGGATCACTGTAGCTCTCTTTTTTGTGGATTATTCCATAATCAATTTTGTAACAGGTGCTCGTAAGTTTGATCATTATAATAAGTCGACTTCTGGCTTCCGATTTTCTGCCATGTTGGGTTCAAGTCACTTTTGCTGGTTTTCAAAGCTCTAAATAGTCTTGACCCTCGGTACTTGGTGGAATTACTTCAGCACCAAAATCATTTCTGGACACTTTGTTCAATTCTTTAGAACTTCTTTTGCAACACAAAATCCATTTCTAAAATATATGACGACCTGGTATTAGGTTCCTTTATACATTGGTATAGCGAACGGTGTTTGTACTTTTAAAAATAAATTTGAAGACCTAACTTTTTAGGAAACTCATTAATGATGGTTTAATATTTTATTAGGGTTTAATGTGTTATATCTTCTTACTTCTATATTTATGTATATATTACTATAAAATTATTATTTTTAATATTGTTGTAAAGTGCAACGAACAACTAGTGGATGTGAGTGCTATAGAAGTGTTACATTATTATTATTATTATTGTTGTTGTAATTATCATCATTATAATTTATTATTATTATTATTATGCTGAGGAATGAGATGTCTCGAAAGTTGTTGCACTGAGTCTCTCCGGACCTCGTTATTTTTGTATAGAATGACTATGTGTGCGTCTCTCCTGTCTTGTGGTACCTCCCCTCCCACCCTTCCCTCCCCTCCCTCCAGCACAGGCAATGATTTTCATTCGCCACTTTAGAAACGAGAAGAAAACTGGGGCGAGTTAACTTTCGCAAAGACTTCTGGGACTGTTACTGGTGACAGGGCAAACAAATTGACCAATAGCTGAATGGCGCGTCCCCACTGGTAACGATAGTAGTCTATGATGTTGAAAATTAAGCCCCGTTGGGGCCTAGTCGTATAATTAATTGACTAACGGTTCGTGAAACGCTCAGACTTTAATAGTTTTTCATTTCCTCGAGATAGATAGGAGGAAACGGTTTTGAAATAGTCAAACAAAATTGAAATAGAAAGTTTTTAATTCACCTTGTGAATGTATTTTGATTATATATCCTATTTTTAGCGCTAAATCAAAAGACATTATAAGCCGTTTCTAGAGTGGCTAGGTGATCGCTCTTCTTATTCCTTTTTTTAAATTAGACGGTCCGACAAACCGGGCTCAAGTTACTTAATGGGCAAGCCTATTGTTCCTATTGTGCTCTTAATTATATATGGAGAAAGGCACTTAATTAATATGGAGGAACACATTTTTACCTAGCTAGCTAAATACTGGACCAGGAGCCCATCAAATTTGATGGGCTCCTGACTAGGCACATAATTAATATGCAGGAAGGCAGTGACTGGGCACTTAATAGCGGAGCTCCACCCGCGCGCGAAGCGCGCGCGTGGGCGGAGCCCCATAGCTAAGGAAATGTGGTAATCTACCCATTCCAGAAAATTTGGTAATCACGTGACCTTACACCGAGCGAGCGAGCGATCGAGCGAGCGACCGTCCGTCCGCACCACAGGCATACCAATGTAAAATAACTCAATCAACAGGTATGGGAACCCAAATGCAACTCAAGGTTTTATTTGGAAGGAAATCACATGGCCGCCCGGACTTTTAGAAAGAAAAAGTCGTGTCTTTTGCGGAGTTAATTTTTGTGTATACTAACGTGGATAACAGAGAAAGAGCTGGAGCGAGTTATTGAAAATTCGTAGGAAGAAAAACATGGAAATTCAAAGCGGCGGTGAGAAAATGAGAAAATGCTAGCGGCCAGCAAGGTGAATATGAGCGGCAGTGCAAGCGAACATGAACACTGGAAACAAAATATTGGGTTAGCACATACGACAATTTCTCTATAAAAATAGTGTGTTCCTAGGAAGTTTGACGTTTTAGTCATACAAAACAGCGTTGTAGTCGTGCAAAACAACGGCAAGGGAAAGACAAAAAAGCGTGCTGCACGTGCAAATTTGTTTTTTGCTAATTAGAAGAAAAAGTGTGCTGCACGTGCAATTTGTTTGTCTGCTAATTAGATCTGTTAGTCTTGAAGCCATTTTCATTGTCGTTCCCCGTTTAGCATTACACGATTTAATTTTTTTTTTGTTTACACGTATTATTAGCCNATTAGATCTGTTAGTCTTGAAGCCATTTTCATTGTCGTTCCCCGTTTAGCATTACACGATTTAATTTTTTTTTTGTTTACACGTATTATTAGCCAGAGCTTCGCTTTTAGCCCTGGCTAAATCTATATATTTAATTAGTATGCACAGGAGCCGATTACTATTACTATTGTTATCCAAGTAATCGGCTCCTGGTATGCAGGATTAGGCAATGACTAGGCACTTGCCAGGCACTGACTAGGCACCAATGGGGGCTTAATTTTCAACATAGTAAACTACTAACGATCCCAGGAGTCTTTGCAAGTGCTAACTCGGTCCAGGTTCCTTCTCGTTTTTACAGTGGCGACTAGAGGTCGGTGAAAGCATCGCCTTTGTAGCATTTCAGGATCTTAGATGGGATAATGTCCTGACCGGGTGCTATTCCAGGTGCATGCGAACCCAGAGCCTCCTTCAGCTCCAGCTCAGGTTCACAATCTAGCTTCTCCAGAACTGGTAAGCACTCTATAGCGTTCAGGGACGTCTTCAGGGCATCTTCAGACACCATATTCTGTCTGGAGTAATGTTCTGCCCAACGCTCCATCTGTCGCGCTCGGTCCTGGATTGTGTAGCTTGTCCCGTGTAGCAGATTATAGGAGCGCTGTTTTCTTCTGAGAAAGACCACTGAATTGTACCTGCTTGATTTATTCGTACATCGTAATTCCACACACCGGAAGCGGTCAAACTATAGGTATAAATCAGGGCTAGAGCCATCGCAGTCGCCTAGATAAAAGCAATAAATTATTTTTGGTTTGCAAGAGGACAAAATACTGCGAAAGTGCTTTGGACTGAAATGGCTGCGACAGAAACAGCTGAAGCTGTATGGGTACTTGGCGAATGTTTTAATAATTTCACTTAACACAGAATTTGAATCAATTTGATTTCGTTTTTAATTCCTGAAGAGATTTGCTCGCAGTATACAGACTTCAGCATACATGCATGTTTATTAATCCTTTCAGTTTTTACTTCATGTTATGGAACTACACATGCATATCTCATTTCTGAAATTACTAGACGTGCAAGTGTTTACGCGATCTATGTTGAATCTACTGTTGTGATGAACATGTTACCCTTTGTGACTGTTTTGGGGAAGTAATCTCTTTCAAGGTACTTTTACTGGTAA